TGGCAAATCCCTGATGATTTTTAATAGTAACTACCCAAGATATGGAAAATCCTCTTCATTGCCATTGTTCTACATTTCTATTTTACCCTTCAATTGGTTGTCTTTTATATTATTAAATGCAAAATCTGACCCTTTGCACTTTATATCTTGTACTCCGCCATCTTCGTTATTTATAAGTACTCCTTTCTTGTTTCTTTCATATCTTAGAAGGCAATCTTGTAAAAAWTGTCAAATTACGATTTTTTGTAAAAATAGTCAAATTAACAGATGTGGTTTATTTATCTTTGTCTTATGAATATTTTTCTCTTAATCCCATGACCGAGTGCCATCTTTTGTTTCTGTAGCTGCTGATTGRTATGAAGCATGTGTGCCATTCTTCTTGTTGGTTGAGTATGCCTTTTATTTGCTTCTAATTTGGTCTACCTATTTTTATTTTATCGATCTTTTCTCCTAAAAGTTTCAGCCAGCATGACCACACACATGCTAGTTATTGATACAGGAACTGCTCCAATATTCATCGGTTGGTGGATCATATGGCACCTTAAGGTTTGGCAGTTCTTAATGGAAGTTCTGATCACTTCAGATCAATGGGTTTTATATGTATGTTTTAAGCATGAGTAGTGATCATGGTTTTGTTTATAGGTTTAGGTGAACATTTGGAGCGTTTCGGAACATTTGTGGTAATTGTCATATTTGATTCCTTCATGATCATGCATTTTCCTTCTCTATATCATGGTTTTAATGGATGCTTTCCTTTGTAGTCACCATCTGTGTATGGCAAATATATGTGACAAGGCTCTCTTGTTCCTTGCAGTAGTAAGCATGGTATAATTGTTGATGGTTATTTTAGTTTAACAAGTGAGACATGAGTAGTTTCACTTTCTGCTTTATTTCTTTCAATGTCTTATGTGTTTTTTCAGCAGAGCCATTTTGTAATTCTCTTAATTCACTCAATTAGCTTTCTAGCTACTTGGGTCATTTGATGCATATATATGATCTTAATTTGTTATTGATGGTGAAGTTAGGAAACTGCGGTTCTTGGTTTTTCGACTTTACAGTGCACATGGTATCTGGTGCGAGCACTATCCACACACAATGCAGAAAAAAATGCCAAGAAGTGTAAAATCATAGATGGCATGATTGCAAGATCTCGGGTACTTGTTGAAGGTGCGTTTAGTTGTTTGGTTATGGGTAAGACCTGGTTTCATTGAAAGTAGATTAATTAGGTTTGTATCCTGTAGTTTATGTGGCTTGTAATGCAGGTGGGGACAGACTGAAGTAAGCTTCTTTAATCAACCGACTCCTCTTTTCAATGGGAATGGACCTAAGCAAAAGGTATTGACTCCATATCCTCTTGARTCATCCTTCTTCAATACATTACCTCATTAATTTCATTTGATGCATGTGTATATAGGTTCTTTTCATTTGTTTTCATTAATTTCATTTTCTMGTAATTTTTGGAAATAGTAGCAGAGTTTCATAAGCTTTTGAACTAAACAAATAACGCCAATTCCATTTCTATATACGCAAAGTAATTGCATAATATTACAAACTGGGGATTGGTAACTTGTCTCTAATTATCACGCTTTTCTAACAGACATTTTGTATATAGTTGCATGTTTAGTATTTCTTTTCTAATTTTTTTTTGAATTTATGGACTATATAGCTAGGTACATTAGAACTCAAGAAAAAGCCAATGTGAAACAGGGTATAAACAACTATCTAAGAGGGCATTTGGTTCACAGAATGGAATTAGGTAGAATTGGAATCCGTCAAAAAAAATTCGACTTTGAAGGAATTGGAATGGAATTCGACCACGCGTTTGGTTRGTAGGAATTGTAATGGAATCTCCATCTTTGTTTGGGAGAAGGGTGGGGGTGGCAGCTGTGATGACGAAAATAACTAGTAGCATGGTGGTATTGGTGGTTGTGGTGGTGGCGAGGGGGTGTCACACCCCACCCACCCCCACCTCTGCCCCTACCTCACCGACCTCCATTCCACTACTTGTCGTTAAATTAGTGCTTACATCATTTTAACCCAAAACAAATCTATCTGTAACTGACTAGGAAGGTTTTAAAATGAACCCAAAACAATTATACTGTTCTCATACCTTATGACATTCAAACCCCAAACACTGAATCACTCCCCCTCGCCACTCCTCGTTGCTCCATCATTTGTCTATTCTCCAAATCGCCTATCACGTTGTTGCCCCTACCATTGATGATAGATAAAAACACTTACTGTTGCTATCTACATACTCTTATATTATGACTTAGATATAAAGAGACACGAAACATAGCTAATTAAATACAAAACCGAAGAGTGAATGATTAAAAAATGTATCYGAGGTCTTAAATTATTTATTTGATACATATATTATTTGTCTTCAAAGTAAATATTAATGTTATACAAATATGAGTTTATGACCAACGTACGACACAAGGACATAAACTAACTAACGAATTATTTCTAAGCTTTAATAACAACATGATTCCAAACATGCATATGTCGGATAATTCAGCATAGCTCCATCCCAACCTGCGTCATAACTAAAATTTCAAAAAAGAAAAACAACAAGCATTAATTTTGTTGACATTTATAGAAAAGAAAACATGCATGGGAAACGCGTACCTAATCTCATTTCCCAATATGTATGATTTATCTTCTCTTGTTTTGCCTTCTCTAGATCACATGCTCTATTTCATCAGCAATTGCATTGAACCACTTTGGCCTTCCTGTTGATAACATGAAATATCCCAACAACATCCAACTAGGGTTCCACATCCATATCCCAACATCACGACTTTCCATGTAAATACACTCCCCTCTTCTCCATCAACTTCAAGTTGTGGGGCACTCGCATGTTCACACTCCTTGGGCAGTGGAAACCCACATAGTCCCGGATTCCCTTCGAATGAAGTGTTGAATGTGCTCAACTGTGTTCCACTAGGAATACGTCCCACCAGAAGGTTCTGTGAGAGATTTAAGACTTCAAGATTTGTGATGTCTGCAAGACTTTGAGGAATCTTTCCTGATAGTTGGTTCTGGGATAAGTCTAATGATTCAATCTCAGAGAGGTTACCTATAGTATGTGGGATCTGACCATTGAGGTGGTTGTTGGATAAGTTGAGCACTATCAACGAGTTAAGAGTGCATATTTCGTTTGGAATCTCTCCTTCAAATTTGTTACCAGATAGATCAACAATCGTGTAGCCGTTTGAAATTTTCTCAAATAAGAGTTGTTGACCCTTCACCACAACAATGATAGAGTAAAAGATGGTAGAGCTGTAAAGATTTAGATATGTATTCGTGCCATCATTGACCACATTCTTCATAGCATCAAAATTTTGAAAATATTTTCCAGGGAGATGGCCTCCAAACTCATTTTGAGATAAGTCAATAACTCTCAAACTAGGAAATGGGTGTTCGATCATAAAAGAGCTTCTTTCTATGGGACCATGAAACTTGTTTGATCGGAGGACAAGAACATTCAGATATCGAAGACGTCCTAACTGGTCAGGGAATGCACCAGTTAAGCGGTTGTTTCCCAGATCAAGCACTTGCAAGTATGAGCATKTGGAAAAGCAACTTGGCACCTTACCWTCAAATTGATTTCCATTCAAAATAAGCCCCGTTAATTCTCCACCACACACATGTGGAATGGTGCCATTAAAATTATTGTTCCCCATATCTATAACTGAAGGAGAGAAGTTCATATCTCCAGGTTTAATCACTCCACTAAAGTGATTATTGGACAGATTCAAATATCGTAGATTGTCCATGTTCCAAATTGATGGAGGGAATGGCCCTGTTATGATGTTATGTGAGAGATCCAAGTAAACCAGTTCATTTCCTTCTAGCTCCTTAATGTAGCCATCGATTTCATTTCTCGATAGATCTAAAGAGTGAAGTTTTCTCATGGCTCGTAAGGACTCTGGGAACACCTTTATCTTGCAAGATGCTAACTCCAAGGCTTGAAAATTAGGATTGACATAGCGACTGGCATTATTGGTCATAACAGATAAACCACTATATGAGAGAGAAAGATAATCAAGGGTCCTGAGGCTTGATAATAAAGTATCCAACTCCCATACGCCCGTAAAATTGTTAAATGAGAGATCAAGCAAAGTGAGGTTCGGGAGTTGTTGAAATGTTTGCTGAATGGATCCTTGATCAAGCACATCTATCGTTCCATCAAATTGATTGTTATCGAGTAGTAATTGCTTTAATGATTGTTGGGTGAATAATTCCAATGGTAAGCTTCCGCCGAACATGTTGTTGGAGAGAAAGATAGCTTCCAGTGAGGGAAGAGTAAACAACCAAGAAGGTAATGTTCCATTAAGCTTGTTATATGATAAATATAGRGTAGTAAGGTGCCTAAGATTAAGTAGGGATTTGGGAAGAGGACCCATCAAACTACAATGAACGAGTATTAAAGTATTCAAAGACTTGAGATGGCCGATTGAGTCGGGTATCTGTCCTGATAAGTTGGTGTATGCGAGATCCAAGTAAGTCAAAGACTTGAGATGGCCGATTGAGTCGGGCATCTGTCCTGATAAGTTGGTGTATGCGAGATCCAAGTAAGTCAAAGACTTGAGATGGCCGATTGAGTCGGACATCTGTCCTAATAAGTTGGTGTATGCGAGATCC